TTGATTTTTGTCTTCAGACATACCTCAACAGTCTCCATCCATTATTAGTCCAAAAATGAGTTGAGGCATAGTTTAGATACAGATCTTCCAGGGTTAGTATAGATATTTTCCAGACTCGAGTGAACATTCTTTGTTCAGCATACAACTGAATGTAGACTTATTATTATTCTGGCGTGTTATACTGTGCAGACCACAATGAACTTTCCTTTTTCATTTTAAAAATATGTATCTATGTATCGTCTGAAAATATTAGAGGATTTACAAAGAAACTGATAAACTTCATAAATACTCATTGTTTAGTATCCACACTCAAGAGCTTTCTTAACCTCTTCTGTCACCCAGGTTCCAATAAAACCTCGTTCTTCGTCCGAATTCCGACAGGGAGATGATAATCTGTCTTTTACACAGATTTCACATAGATGTAAAGTTCATTTTTTATGACTTCTTAAAAGAAGAGAATGATAGAGTTCTTTGCATTTGACAAAAACATAATACGAATTCAAATAAGAAATATCAGTAATTATAATTGGATACCCGACATGGTAATTACAGGAATTATTAGTCCATGGATTTATATGAAGTCAACATGCTTTCTACATTCTTCATCCCTTACGTTATACAAGAGTATGGTGGTCTTGACTCTGCCTAGACATAAAGCATCAAGGTCGTCAAGACAACGAAGTATTTCGTAATTTGTGAAGAAATACTGTAAGTCAATATTATATTTCTTCATTACGATAAATTCATCTTCCCAAATAAAAAAAAATTTGGTATCTGAGATCTTCAGTTTGTTACTCTTTTTTCCCCTCCTGGATTCGTTTTCTTATTGGTGCATTTAAAACAACGTTTAAATTGAACTGTAAGATGAAATTGTAAATCTCGTAGATAACTGATATGATGATCATCTGGATCTATAGTAAAGTTGTTGTTTTAAGCTATGGATTAGAAAAGAAAATGGCTGACTTAACATGTATCACTATCATTGTCGTTGATCTATGTACCAATTTGTTAAAAAGTAAGTCTAGTTAGTTATAAAATTGTCCGTCTTTTTAGTCCTTGATATTGTTGTCAAAGTACATGTTATTAAAATATGTCTAGTTAATAATCAAACTGTCCATCGCTTTTATCTGTGGTAAATGTGTTGATATTGATGTTTTTCTTTTTCACATCATTTAAGTTTACCATATGAGGCTGTGCTTGATCTAGATTATCATACCGAACACCGTCAGCAAGTATCGAAGTATACACGTACACGTGCTTCTTGAAACCTTCTGAGACTGGCAATTGATGAACAATGTAGAATAATTGAATCATGTTGAAAATTAGATTTCAGAATGTCTGATTTTAAGCACAATTACATTCATAAAGACTATAAATTAGATGATAATGTATATGACTCGTGATGATTTCAAGAGTTAAGAATATTTTCCCATAATGTTATCCAAAATAGTTTGTTTGTAATTAAGCACAAAGCTACACAATGAGCTATCTGTGCTCTGCCCACCACGGGTATCGAAACCCAAATTCTAGTGTTGTAAGTTCGCAGACATACCGCTGTGCCACTGGGGGGCATCCAAAAGAGATACAGTAAACAAGTCAACTATCTTCTGCCTGAATTTATTGAAATTAAACATAATTATCACTTACTATTACAACTTCTGCCAAGTTACATATTTGGTAAAATAAGAAAGTATAAATGAATGTATAACATGATATAATACTAACATTATATGATATGTATTATATCATGATATAATACAAATAGGAGTTCAGATCGTATATTTTCATATTGGTACGACAGCGGGGGTCACGTGACTCTAGTAACACGTCATATTATCGAAGGTTCGTGAATGCTCGAGTGTTTACTAGATATGCGGTATTCATGTATATAAGACCGCCAAGAAGTGACGGCAACAAGGGGAATGTAGTTAAATTGCAGACAGAGATACAGGCGACAATTGAACCAAGCGCGTGAATCGT